TGACTGGGGGATTCTCCCCAAACCTTGCTCAGCTGATCCAGCCCGGGCCGCAGGCCAGCCCTGGGCAAAGAAACCAGCACCTCATCAGTCTTCCCTGAGCGTCACAGCTCGGTGATCGCGCCGGCCGGACACCACTGTAACGTCCGTTCCGGGCATTTGAACGCGACCTTCGGGGGCAAAGACATGGGCTCTATGGCTCAGACTGGACTCCTCTTGGTCCCTTCTGATGCCCTAGGCCACACCTGGGCCTTACCTGGGGCTCTAGGGGCCGGGCGGGGTTTGCCCCCCGAAACTGGCCCGGAGGACCTTAAAAAAAAGTACGTAGTCAGGCAGTGATCCGCCGAAGTTTGTGCGCGCCGCGCCGTGCAGGGCCCTTGTATTACCACGTTGCTCCGGGATGAGGCCGTCACGGTTGGCGCCCTGCACCGCTGCCGCAATGGCAGCGCGGGCCGAGAACGAGCCGGCCGCCGGCTCACCACTGTCTCGCCGCAACGCCCATTCGGAGCGCGTGAGGCAGCTGAGGTTTGCTCTGGAGGAGGAGGAGCGGGCAGTGGCCGCGTGCGACTTGGAGCTGCAGGCGATGGAATCCAGCCCCACCGACGCGCCGCCGGTGCCCCCGACGCGCTCCGTCCGCGCGCTGCTCGCGCTGACGTCGCCCATGTACGGCATCGGTGTGATCTCCAACCCGCTCCCTCCCTCCCCTCCCTGGCTCACTCTCCCGCCCTCCCCCCCGCTCCCAACCACTCCCCTCGCACGCCCTCGCCCTCACCCCTCGTCTTCGCTCGCCCTCCAAAGGGATCGCATGGGGGGCGCAGTACGCCAAGGTGACTCCGATCCTGCAGCAGCTCGGCCTCGCCCCGTGGTTGCTCTCGGTGGCGTGGCTCGCGGGGCCTGTCTCTGGCCTCGTCGTGCAGCCGCTCGTTGGGCAGGCGCGAGCTAAGGCCGCCGCCACAGCCCGCACGCTGCCCGGCCCACGCCCCCTCCCGCCCCTCAGGTCTCCGACCGCACCCACTCCGAGTCGCGCTTCTTCCCCGGCAAGCGGCGGCTCTGGATGTGGTGCGGCATGCTCGGCCTCTCCCTCTCCTCCATCACGATGGCCTTTAGCCCAAACATCGGCCTACTCCTCGGCGACCCCGACGATGCCGCCCTCCTCGCCGAGACGGCACTCCCCGAGACCGGCTCGGGCGCCGCCCACGCGCTCCCGCCCGCGGAGCTGGGGGAGCAGCTGAACGGTGAGCTCGAGGCGACCCTCTCGGAGGGTGGGGGCTACCACCCGGCGGCTCTGTGGGTCGCGATCGCCTCCTTCTGGGCGGCCGACTTCTTCCTCAACGCGCTGCAGGGACCCGCGAGGACGCTCGTGGTGGACATGTCGCCGCCGCACCAGCAGGCGCATGGCGCTAGCATCCCCGGAAACATCCTCCCCGACAAGAGCGCAGCCGAGATCCCGCCATGTTCTAGCCGAGATTCGTCCCGAGATCCGGCCGAGATGCGAGCCGAGGTCGCGGCGCCGCCAGGCGCTCGCCAACAGCATGTTTTCGGTCTGGGACTCGCTCGGCAAGGTCTCGGGCTTCTTCTTCGGCTCGCTCGACTGGTCGTCCTTCTTTGCGCCCGGCGAAACCAACCTACTCGTCGATGCGCACGTGCTTCCGGGCCGTCGCGCCCTCTTCGCCGACTGCCGCGCCATCTTCGCCTTCTCAATCGCTGCGATGGCGGCGACGCAGCTCGCCAACCAGCTGAGCTTTGTCGAGCCGCCACCCCATCCGCGCGCACTGGCGACGCCGCTGACGGCCAATCCGCTACGGCCGCTGATCGACTCGCTGCGGCGGATCCCGTCGATGCCGCGGAGCCGCTCCACTAGATGCGGCTTGCAGACCCGTGATTGCGTCGGCAGTCGAGAGGACACCTATTCGGTTGAGTGGTCTCAGCTGCCTTCGGCGATCAGCCATGTTCGTAGCACCTGGTGTTCACGCGATGTTCGGAGTCCACTGCACGAGACGGGGTGCTCACACACATCCTGACTTTGCACGCACCGCAGGCACGTGCGCGCCACCTTTGCCACACTCTTCTCCATGTTCGTCGGCTGGTTCATCACGTGGATGTACCTTCCTGCCTTTATGGGCGGGTCCGTCTACGGTGGCCCGACGACACCGTCCGTGCTTGCCTCTGTGACGAGAGCGCCTCTGCACTCGAGCGTACCTCTGCGATAGGCGGCTCGCCCGACCCATGGCTTCCCGAGGACGACCCGCTTAAACACGCGTACAACGAGGGGACGCGCGCTTGCTCGCTCGGCACGACTCGCCCGCTCGCCTCGCCCCCCCCCGGCCGTTTTCTTCATCTCCACGATCCCTCTGACAGGCATGACTCTCGCCTCGCTCGTCACGCTGGTCTGCGCGCCGGCTCTGCCGGCCGCCATGAGGCAATTTGGCGAGTCGGAGGCCCTCCTCCCCCGCCCCCCTCGAGCGGCCAGATCCCCAAGATATCCCCTCCCGCGCCCTCCCCGACGTGTCCCTACCCGTCCGCACCCAGGTCTTCCTCTGCCTCGAGCTGATGCACACGCTGCTGCTGATCCTCCTCGGCACCAGCATCGCCACCCCCGGCCCCGCGATCGCCGCGATCGCCGCCCTCGGACTGCCCTTTGCTGGCCGCCGACCCATCATGCCCCGTTCGCGGTATGCATCTCGGTACACCTAGGCTGAACCTCGATGGCGCCTCATGCTTAGGCTTCCTCGTCATCCCCTATGCCATCGTCGGCCGCGCCGCCGCTGAGTCCTCCGGCACAGGGGTAGATGGGCGACACTGGACGCGTGCGGCACTTCGTGTCACGCGCCACTTGTCGCCACTGTGTCGCGCCGATACCACGCTTAGTATGGCCGTGTCAGCTAGGCGCGGGGCAGTACATGGCGACGATGAACCTTTTCCTCTGCCTGCCCGAGCTGCTCGTCTCTCTCGTGATCGGCCCCGCCGCGTCGGCTTCGGGATCGATGCGCCTACCCCTCCTCGTCGGCAGCGTCTGGTGCGCCGTGGCTGCAGCTGTGATTCACACATACCTCGTGCGCACCACGCCGCAGCAGCGGCGCGCCTCGTGCAAGCGCTATGTCAAGAACAAGGCGGCGGCGGCCAAGAAGCGCGCCGCGGGCGAGGGGGACGGGGCGGAGCTGCTTGCCCAAAAGGCGGCGGCCGACGCGGGCGCGTGGACGGTCGCCCGCGGGGAAGGCGAGTCGCCCAAGGCGGAAGACCACCCCCCCGCGTGGGTGAGGCCTGCCGGGGCACCAGACGATTGGGCAGAGACTTGACCAACGTGCCGCCACTCTCTGTATCATGTCTGGCCACGGTGTTTTGTTTGTGTCCGCGAGCGCGAAGCGGCGAAGCGCGGGGTGTCCCCATTCCTTCCCTTTGTGTGATTTGTGATTTCTACTTTATTTTTTGCGAGGCGCCAGGCGCGTGCCCTCGTTAGGCCTTGTACGGCGGAAAACGTAAAACGAACGGTTACTTCCCCCAGGATTGGTCTTCTCTGCATGCGGGAACACCCTCGGGCGGCCGGGTGGGGCTGCGGCTGGAGCTAGCATGGCTCGATAGAGCCGAGACCCCGTGTTGAGGCGGCGCTCCTGTGGGCGGCTGTGGAATCGGGAGATATTCGAGGCAGCCAGATCTCCCGATCTCATCCCAGTGATGGACGTCCGTACGTCCCTTCTTAGTGATTGTGTTTCGGACGGCCCTTCGTTGTGTTCTCCTCCGTCCGCCAGCGAGACTGGCTCAGTCGCTGGCGGCCACAGTTCTCTGTGAGGTGGGAGGAGAGGAGAAGACGCAGTGAAGATGGCGCAGCAGCAGGCCCCGCCAGCTGCGCAAGCGCCCATCGTCGTCGTCGTTGACGAAGTTCAGATCACCAGTGATGCAGCGCTCGTTCTCGTTCCAGGGGCTCAGCACGTAAAGGACCACACGCCTTGTCTGAGTTGGACCACGGTGTACGACAATGCAGGAGCAGTGACCAACTACACCCTGGGGCAGAGCGACGCCAAGGGCGCCTTCCTGCCGCGGTGCCGGTTCAGCGTGGACCAGCAGACAGGCACCCTCCTCGATGGGAACCACGTTCTCAATGTGCTTTTCAATGGGGCATTCTGGTCGCGGCTTCTGACCGCTCTGGACGCGGCGAACCTCTTTGCCACTCCCATGGAGAAGATCGGCGTGTTACACCAGCGGCTCGCCGGTCTGGCAATGGCCAACCCAGGGGTCTGGGTGATCTCGCACTCGGATATCTTTCTCAGGCGCGCGGGGGGCCTCGCGGGCCATTCAAAACTACCCTGCTCTTCTAAAATCGCGTGAGGGCTGCTCTTAGTCCTAGAAGATGTAGGATTGCGAGCGTAGGCGCTCACAATCGCACAGAGATGCTACGATTGCGAGGAGTGCTGCTCACAATCAATCCTTCGACTTCTAGGATTGAGAGCGAGGCTGCTCTCAATCCTAGCCTAGTACAAAAGAAGGTTCACCGCCACTGCGCGCCAGTCCCGCGTCGTGAAAAGTCGTGAGACCGAGTTTGTTGTAAAAATCTACGAGTGTTAGAGTTGTTTGGTATTGACGTCCGCAGCTTCCGCCGATCTCCCGCTTCTTACCCCGCCTGTAACCTCTCGTTAAGGTATTGCTGAAAATCTCTCTCTCGAATGTTTCTGCCAGACTCACCAACGAAAAGTTCAGAACCAGGCTGCCACACAACCCCACTGCGCTTACTCGCGGGGGGCCGCGGCCACCCTGTCAACCTTCTTCCAAGCCCTTCCAATCTTCTTCTCGTGTTAGTGCCAGTGCGCGCCATTAGAGTACCAAACAACACATGATGTGTGCATGTGCATGTGCTTGTAAATCTGCTGTCGCGTTTCTTTTTTAAAATTCTCCCATGCATGTGCTCGCCAGGGCTTTGCGGCCCGCTGCAGTGGCCTCAGCTCGAATTGGGCACGCCCGACCCCTGCTGCGCGTGGGCCGGCGCTCCATCTTCGGCGGCCCCGACGAGATGGAGGTGTCGCGCGCCGTCGCGCGCCGTCGCCGCTTCGACTCGCTCCTGCTGGCGCTCGGCCCGCCACCACAGCCGGTGCGGGCTGCTGTGGAGCGGGCGGTGGAAGCGGCACTCGTGCAGCACGCGACCCAGGGCACCTTGGCTAGTCCCAGTGCACTGAGCGCCGCGGTGGACGACGCCTTGCCCGCACTCACCGCGCTGCAGACCGCGCCGCTCGCGCGCTCGGTGAGTGTTGCCGAGATGGCATCCGCGGCGGCGGAAGTTGCTCCAGCAGCAGCCAAGGCGGCGGTGGCAGCCGAGCACCAGACGGCGATGGCCGAGGCGGCGGCACAGACGGCGGGGCCGGCCACCCCCGCGGCCGTACTCGGTGGGGGATCGGCGCCGGTGGCGCAGCACAACGCGGCGGTGCATGCGGCAGCCGCGGGCGGAGCAGCTTCGTTAGGGGGCGATGGACAAGCGGTGGAGGCAGCGCAGGACCAGCCACTCCCGGCCGAGGACCTGTCCGAGGAGGAGCTGCTGACGGTGCACGCCATGCGCATGGCCGCTGCCCTCACCGTCGTCCGGGACTGGCCTTGGGAGGCGCTCGTGGCCCGGGCTGCCACCAACGGCGGCGGCAGCGGCGGCGGCGGCGTGCCAGTCGCGCTGCTGCTCGACGTGTCCCTCGACCTCGGCTCGGGCGACACGTCTCGCGCTCTGCAAACGGAGTTGCTTCTCTCCCGTGCCTCCCTTCCCGCGGGCGCGGCTGCGCCTTCAGCGCCCCCCAGTGCGGTGGAGCTCGAGGCGGCGAGCCGCACGGTGGCGGCGGTGGCGGTGCCGCTGCTGCGCGGCCTGCTCGAGCGAAGCACGCTGCACACCGAGGCCGAGGCTGCCCACCTTGCTTCGCTCGGTGGGCGGACTGGGTTGGCGGGCCTGTTGCAACGCGGCCCGCCACCGCCCTCTGGTGCGGCGGCAGCGGCGGCGGTTTTGGTCACCGAGATGACGCAAAGGTCGCTGCCACGCCGGCTCGCGGCGGGACTACTCGCGCGGCTGCGGTCCAGCCCGCCTGCCCCTCCCGAGATGCTCGCCGCAGCGAGCGCCGCGGTGAGCGACCCTAGAAGCTGGCGACGTAGTCTTGTATTCCGACTGGCGCTCGAGAGGACACGTGTTTGGCTGTATTCGGCCGTGGTTGGCGGCCTTTGCTGTATTCGTATCCCTCGTGTTCACGCGGTACTCTATGGCGTAGGTAAACGACCCAAAGGCGGTCCACGCGGCGCTCCAGGCGGAGGCGGTGGCGACGCCGCGGCTCGCTCCGCTGTACGGCGCCCTCTCCTCTGAGCCCACGTTGCTGCACGCGCTCGCCGGATCATTCTACAACCAGCACGATCGAGCTGCCGGCCGAAGGCGGCGGCGGGTTGCTTTTGCCAAGCTGCTTGGCCTCTTCATGGCGGGGAACGTGCTCGATTTCGTTCTCTCCAACATTTGAGAGGCACACAGCCGCAGCATCATGTCTAGCCGCGCCGTAAAGCTGTATGGGCAGGGGCCAGCAAAAGACACAATGGCAAATAACAAAACAAATAGCACTAAAAAGTGAAGCAAAAAAGTACCCCACTGCCACTCCCTAGCGGCCTGTCTCCGCGTGCAAAAATGAGAACACATGCCTGAGCCCTGGCCTCGACACCTCGACACCAAACCTCGACACCGACTCGACACCTCGACAACCCATGCCAACTCGACAAACTCGACACCCCTCGACACCCCTCGACACCATCTAGGCTGAAACCATGCTCGTCCGTGTCAAGGTGCCAAACTCGACACCTCGACACCGCTCGACACCCCTCGACACCCCTCGACACCGCTCGACACCGCTCGACACCGCTCGACACCGCTCCACCACCTCTGATGATCCTAACACAGCAGAGACGTAGACCCATTGGAGTCACAGAGTTAGAAATCAGGGTTGCAGCAGCAATCAAACTTGGCTGGCAGTACTTTCATCCCTGAGTTGCAGCCTCTCAAGTTCTAGCTCAAGTTGCAGCTCAGTTGCACCCCTGTTGATGCAGCAAACATGGCAGTACTCAGGTAGCCCTAAGGTGCTGCACAGCACCTTGTACAGTGGCAATGAATCCTCACACCAGTGAGCTTGTGCCATGAGTGCAGACCTGTGGTCCATTGCGCTTTGTGCACTGGCGACGCTGCAACGGCGACGCTGCAGCGGCGGCGACGCTGCTGCGATGGGGTACTGTAGCCCTTAGCTGCTGGACAGCACCTTGTGCAGTGGCAATGTCCACTGACTCATGGCACCAGCCTTGTGCCATGAGCGCTGTGGTCAGTTGCGCTTTGTGCGCCGGTGACGCTGCAGCAGCGACGCTGCTGCAGCAGCGACGCTGCTGCGGTGCTGCGCCTGCACAGCACCTTGGTGCACAGTGGCAATGACTCCCGGCACTTGATGTCCTCAAATGTCCACAGAGACTATACTGGTTGTGCTCAGGTTGTGCTACATCAACAGGGTGCAACTGAGGCTGCAACTAAGGGATGAAACAGCTTTGCAACTGCTGCCCAACTTTTGTTGTATGTTGATGGGCTGCAACTGCATCCACCTGCCACCTTGGACACCTCGATACCTCAGACGCCTCTTGACAACACTCGACACCCGCTCAACACCCGCTCGACACCCTCGACACCCTCGACACCCTCGACACCCTCGACACCCCTCGACACCCCTCGACACTCCTCGACACGGACAAGCATGGTTTCAGCCTCGACAGGCCTCGACAGGCCTCGACAGGCCTCGACAGGCCTCGACACCTCTATCCCTCGACAGCAGCTCGACACCCTCGACACCGGGCCTCGACACCTCGACACCAGGGCTCAGACACATGCATGAAATGTGAGACGCGCGCGCACAATTCATGTATCGACGTGTCGTGTGTGCGACACATGCACATGCACATGCACACGTGCATGTGCATGCATCACAAAAGCTCGAAGGGGCAAACACATGGAGCGATCATGTGAGGCGCTCAAGTCGAGCCACCTCAGCGAGCGCGAAGGACCCCGCCCGCCTCAGTGACGAGACTTCGTGCGTGCCGCACGCAGCGACGAGGGGCGGGAGGCCGGCTGCGCGCACGGGCTCGTAAAAGGCGGACGACAAACGGCAAAGGGTGCCGACGAGGGTGCACGCCTTGGAGCGCACGGCCAGCTCGTCATGTCGCAGCAGCGGCGTCAAGCATTGCGGCAAGCGCGCCCGCAGCAGCATCCCCGTCCAATCCCCGTCGGGCGGCGAGGCTGGGGCGGCCGACGTCGTCGCGCCCGGGCCAGTAAGGCACGCCGCTGCTGCCGCGCCTGCAACGTCGCGCCGCGAGCCGGCTGCGCGCGCCTGCTTGTGAAGATACGCCGACATCAGTATCAACACCCAAGGCGGGAATGCGGTTTTGTGCAGAGTGGTCAGAGCACCGCGTGAAGAGGAGGGGTGCGAATACAGTGAATACAGCGGAATGCGGTCGAATACGGCGGAATACGGTCGAATACAGCGGAATACGTGTCCTCTCGAGCGCTGTTCGAACACATGAGCACGTATGCAGCTTCTAGCTGCGCGAGCCGCGTGGCAGAGAAGCAGCAGGGCATTGACGAGAGAAGCGGCCGAGCAACGCGGATCGAGGCAAGCGGCGGCGGCAGCAGCGGTCAGACCGCATCGCCCGTCACACGGCTCGCCACCCTGATCGCCGCACTGCCCGTCGCAAAGAAGCTGCCGGAGAAAGTGGCGCGACCCGAGCACCAGCCGCGCCAGCAAGCTCACGCTGACTTCGCGGTCGTGCGGTGACGCCTCGGCCAGCGCCCGCAGCAGCGTCTTTACCAGGCCCGCCTCATGCAACGCCTGATTGCAGGGTGAATGCGTGCCTATCTCGGCTCTCTCGCGGCTATATCTCTGGGCTGCGTCTTTGCGATCTCGCGGCGGCCGTCTCTATCAGCGACACAAGACACTAGCCGTGCTACGTCGCTCGGGTATCTCGGGAATCTCAGGTATCTCCGGCTACCTGCTGAAGCGCGACGAGTGCCTCCTCCTCCTCCTCTCCGCCCTCTCCGAACGGAGCGTAGACGGCGATCGAGACGGCACGCAGCAAGCGGCCGCTCGACGCTCCGCCCCTGGAAGCCGAGCTCAACTTGCGCAGGCGGCTCGGCTCGATGGCTGCGAGGAGCGACGCGTCGAGGCGGTGGCGGAGCAAAAGCGAAGCCGAGCAGCGGCGTGCCTCGGGCCATCGCAGCAGCGCAGCCCACAGCTGTGCGGCCGCCAAGACGGCCACGTCCGGCGCCGCCCCGTCCACGCCCGACAGCCGGCGCGACAGCGGCGCCTCGAGAGCCCCCCATCGCTCACGGTGCGACCAGAGGGCCGTGGCGCCGTCAATCGAGGCGGCGAGGGAGAGGAGCCGCCGGAGCACCCGCGCCTCTGCGGCGCTGCCAGCCGTGCGGAGCGAGTCGAGCAAGCGTCCAACCTCCTCCTGCGGCGTGTCCCGTGGCCTCGACCCAGACCTCGGGTTCGACGGCTCCCGCGGCGAGGTACTGCGCTCGCCGCTTGCACCGCCACCGGGAGGAGACGTCTGTGCCGCGTGCTCGAGGCCTGGAGGACACGTCTGTGCCGCGTGCTCGAGGCCGGGAGGAGACGTCTGTGCCGCGTGCTCGAGGCCGGGAGGAGACGTCTGTGCGAGGCCTGGAGGACACGTCTGTGCCGCGTGCTCGAGGCCGGGCGCGAGAGCCGCTCGCACAGGACCCCCCCCTTCGGGACCCGGAGGCGCCTCGGCGTGGGCCCCGCGCGTGGCCGCGCCCTCCTCATCGCGGCAGCCGACCGGCAGGACAGAGAGGAAGGCGCCGGGAAAGTTGGCGCGCAGCGCGAGCGCGTGGTGCGGCACCACGGCTGGCGTCCGCTGCTGGCAAGGGCCTCGGAGGAAGGGGTGGTGGAGCAGCGCCGGGTACGAGAGGCGCCGGCGCGGGTCCTTGGTGAGCAGACCTTCGAGGAGCGAGCCAAAGGGGAGCGAGGCGTTTTCCGGCCGCGAGACGTCTTTCGAAACAATCATCGAGACTAGCGCGAAGAAGTTGTGGGTGTCGAACGGCGGCCGGCCGACGTAGAGCTCGTACAGTATGACGCCCAGCGCCCACAGGTCGGCTGTGTGGTCGTAAGGCTGCTCCTGCAAGAGCTCCGGCGCCATGTAGAGCGGCGTGCCCTTTATCGATGCGAGCACCGTGGTTTGCTGCGACATGGCGCGAGCGAAGCCAAAGTCGCAGAGCATGACGCGCGAGTTGGCGCCGAGCAGGATGTTTTGTGGCTTCATGTCGCGGTGGATCACGCGGTGGGAGTGCAGGTAGTGGAGCGCGTCGACGAGCTGAGCCGCGATTGGCAGGACCGCCGCCTCGGGGAGCGCAGTGTCGCCCTGGAGCACCTCGAAGAGGGTGCCCGACGCAAACTCGGTGACGGCGCAGAGTGCGTCCTCCGTCTCGAAGCAGTCGAGCATCTGCACGATGTTTGGGTGGCGCAGCGTCCGGAGAATGTCCCTCTCCTGCCGCAACGCCGCCAACTCGGCGGCGCTGTGGCCTACGGTCGGGATGAACTTGATGGCGACGACCTGCCCGCAGTAGCGGCGGCGCCCCTTGTACACCTTGCCAAAGGAGCCCTCGCCCACTAGGCCGATGACGTGGTAGTCCGAGAGCGGCATTCAATTCGTCGGCCCTCCAGAGAGCGGGTGGGCCGCGCAGCCAGGTTCGTGTGAAGAGTCGGCATAAAGCGCGCGCGATAAGGGTTTTGCTTGCCTTCCCTGGGACCCCGTGTTGCATGTCTGACTGTCACTGTGCGATTTCGGGGCCCGGGGTTGTGCGTTTATGTGAAGAAGAAACTTGTGGTGGCCAACAGCACAACGTTTGTGTGCATCCACTTCGCGGACAGGTGCACTGCCTTGACAGTCAAGACAGAGACGCAAGCTCTCTCGGACAATCTCTCGCACGATATCTCGAAGCCAAGTCAGTGAGCGTGCAGTGATTACGGCAGTGATCACTCCCCATCCATCCATCCTCCATCCACTCCGAAGCTCGAGCTCCGAAGAGTTTCGCTCACCGGCACTCCGACGCGCTAGAGGCTCTCCAGCCGACCCGCCGGGAAGGCAGTGCTCAAAGAGGTCGAGCCGCGACTAATGGGGTGTCTCCGAGCTTACTGGAGCTCTGATGGACGGCGGCCCTGACTATCACTGGCAAAGAAAGCGTGTGTCCTACCTATGTGTGTATGTAGAAAAGCCCCGGGTAAGCCTGGAAAATACCCAGCCAAAATACCCATTGAAGTACCCAGGTACATTCCCGGAGGAGGACTGCTGCCGGTTTTCTGTGGACAAAATACCTGGGTACTTCAATGGGTACTTTGGTCTTTGGTCTTTGCCGATTTCCCCGATTTTTGTCAGTTAAAAGGGGAACCCTCTCGTTTTCATCTCCCATCTGGGTGGGTTCCGAAAACATGGGTACAGGCCAACCTTACAGCCGCTGTATTACAGGGGCCCTCCCGCTTATAGCGCAACAAACAAATAACTCTAGCGCAGGGCTAGGGCTCTCTTGCCCGCAACCCGTCCCCGAGCATCTGGCCCGCTGGGTGCGCTTCTTAGCTCCCCGGCCCTGGATGTGAGGCTGCCACCTGCACTCCAAGTGCTCCAAGTGCGCGTCGGAGTGCCGGTGAGCGAATCTTCGCACTTTTCGGAGCTCGAGCTTCGGACGGATGGGGAGTAATTTGGCCAGTACATACTTTTCCGGCAAACAAAAGGGAAACGAGAGGGTCGCTCCCCAGCACTTTGGTCTTTGCGTTTCCGGAAATTTCCAAGGAATCCAAAGGGCTTTGGTGCTCCATCTGTTTTCTCTTGAGTTCGATCCCTACCTTGGGAAACTCGCGAGTTTCCCTTAGTCTGAGAGCTGGTCTGAGGCAGAATCTGAGGCAAAATCGATAATATCAAATTCTTTGGTGTTGTTTGTCTCCGCCGCCGCCCGGGGCCGCGTCCACGCGTAGGTTGGTTGGGGCGCGCCAGGGTTTCGGAACCGGGTCCGGCCACGCAAAAAAGATTTTTACAACAGCTCCCTCTCACGACACTGGCCAACTGGCATTGATTGATTGATGGCGAACTGGCAACTCAGGAAAAAAGAAATGCGCGCCTTGCGGCGAGACTCGTACGTCACCACTCACGGAACGGAACACCGTCAACCCGATGACGACGGACGTTGCAACAACGCCCGTTCTTTTCGTTGGGGTAATCTCGTACAACCAGAGCGGCCACCTCGAACGCCGGCATTCGATTCGCGCCCTGCACCGGCCCGACCCAGCCGTCGAGCTGCGCTTCGTCATGGCGGAGGATGAGGCGCAAGAGGACGTGTCGTTGGGCGATGTGCTGCTCCTCCCGCTGCCGCCGCGTGTCAACCGCCGCCTCGTGGGGCAGTGGCTTCTCAAGAACGCCTTTCTGCGATATGCCACTGCGCGGCCCAGCGTGCGCTTCATTGCCAAGGCTGATGACGACACCGCCTTCAATGCCACAGCACTGGCGCTTGAACTGAGCACGCTGCCGCCGACCATGCGGCACGTCGTCTACGGCCCTGTCAATGTGTGGTTTGTGTACGCTCCATTGGCGCTCACACCCGTTTGCTGGGACAGCTCGCCTCGTCGATGGGCGGGTGCGAGGGCCCAGTGGGTTGCTGCTGGTCGACCGCACGATACAACCGACGCGCCGCTCGACCAGTGCCTGCGTGTCGGCACCGTCGGTCCATTCCCTTTCGCCGGCGGCCCGCTTCAGGCATATTCGCACGCATATGCCGCACGGCTAGTCGCGATGCTGCACGCGGAGGAGGAGTACGTTCTGACAAACTTCTCGACGGCGCCGATCATTCATCCGCGTTCTGGCACCGTCGTGCAGCCTACCAGCAAGGCGCACCCAGCGAACCGGTTGCTTATCGAGGATGCCCACTTTGGATACATGCAGCGGGTGGGATTCGACGAACTGGACGTGATTATGATCGACGCGTCGATGTGCTCGATGGTGGGACGCGACAAGCGGAATCGCTGGGCGGGAGATCAAATGTGCGGTGGGCCTCTGTGGCGAAAGGAGCTCAAGGGTGCCGCAGATGGTAGGCCACAGGCGATGATCCACGCACACATCTATCATAATATAAAGCATCCCGAGCGATGGGCCTTCCTCAAGCGCCACCCCGAGCTTCTCGAGCGATCAGCTCGTCCGCGTCTCGTGTGCGACGAAGAGGAGCACTCGCTCGGGGCCACCATGCATGCGCAGCAGGGCTGCTGCCGTAGGTGGCGCTCCTGTCGCTTCGTCCAGCTACCTTAAGACAAAGCCAAAGAACTGAAGGTCGAATTACAATGAACGGGAAGACCAATGTAGGTAGTTACGCTTTAGGACATCGTGCGTTGCAAAATACTTATGTCTGCCAACGGAGAGGGCGTTATAATTTCTTCTCACGGGAACAGGACACGAATCGGAATACCAAAACTGTGGGATAGGCACACATGGCGCACAACGTTCACGCGCACCACCGGCGCTGCATTATCTGTTCGCGTCGTGGCCCTTCAACACACTGGCCCACGGGGGCGGGCGCCGCAAGTTGCTGTCCCGTCGTCGAATCGCAAGGGCGGCTGTCTTCGCGAGGGCGGCCCTAACGCGGCGCTGCGCACGCAGCTCGGCCTTGTCTGTCTGATTGAGATGGAAGAGGAAGCGGCGGTCGGGTGGAATTACTGCCTGCTGGTTGGTATCCACCGACCAAAATGTCGCCGGAGGCTGGCTTCGGAGGAGCTGGACGAGCCGGCCGATATTTGAGCTGAGCGTCCCAACCGCCCATGTTGCGCGCCTCAGAAGCTGCATTTCCGACCAGAGGCGAACGACCACAGACGTGTTGACGCCTCGCGCCGGCTCGCCTGGCCAGCTGTGGACAGTCCACGAGTGGCGCACCGCCGCATTGCACTGCGCAAACTCGTCCACCGTGCGATGGTCGTCTGTGGCAACGAAGACCGGCATGGCGCCGTCTCGGCCGTCTTTTGCTGCAAGCCAGGCCAGGCGCTCTGCGAACACGCACGTATCTATCGGACGCGCCTCACGGCCCCACCATTCAAGTGCTGTCTTGTCGCGCCGCCGAATGTGCACGGCACCAAAAGGCCTGGCGCCGTCCGCCATATTTGGGAAGCGTTGTGCCAGCAGGGCAGTGACCCGAACCTCCATCTCCGGCTGCAGGCGCAGCACCAACGCCGCGAGCGCTCGCCACGCGAGGAGAGCTCCAGTAGCGGGTGCTTCGTGCTCGCCCCAGCGCTGGCTCTGCTTGCACGCTTCCTCCGCACCCACCAGGTGGTGGCATAGGCGCTGCACATGCATAGTGCTGAGGGTGCGGCCGAGAGTCCAATCAGAGCCAGTTGAAGAGCGGTTGGCAACCACGGAGGGAAGCGCACAGCCAGAGCAAACATGGCTTGCGGTCGCCCCGCAAGCGCTAACCGGTTGGAAGAAACAGTGGGGATGTGCCATATCCTCGTAGCCACAAGCGTGCGAGGAAAGTTGGAAGCCGACACCATTGAGAAATGCGTGCGCTGCGACAACGAGCATGCCCGTTACACGGGCGCCGAATCCGATCACATAGAAGGCGAAGCTGCCGGACGGATTTCGCAAAAGCTCCCTACGCGTGGGAATCACTGAGTGCGTGCATGATGGCCAACGTGTTTCACGGCAGATGTGGCCGGCAAGAGTGCTGCTGTCGCCGGTGAATTGCGTTCCGTCTGGCATGGTATGAACGCTATGCCAGCGACATCGGCCGATGCAGAGGTTGGGCGCGGCGCATCGGTGCGGCTCGAGCTGTGACACCATTGCGAGTGGGGATCCTCAATGGCACTCAATCGCGTTGCGCCGCACGCCGAATGACAATCGCGGTAAACCGTGGAAACACTTCTCGTTGCCGAACCCAACTCGTCGCCGAAGGACGCGACGCGGCGTCACGGCCGCGCCAATGTTTTCTCACGTCGGTGTGCCCTGACTGGACGGCATTGCAGTGGCATACCTGCGCCTCCTCCTCATGCTTGGTCTCCTTAACGCACGCCGTGCACCTCCAGTGCGTCCGTGCGCGGTCGTACCGCTCTTTCCAACCCCCCCACCGTTCGCTCGCAGGCAGGTGTCTGGCAAGCGCCGCCCCCGCCGGAGCAACAGGCACACGCGACACGGGCCGCCGCTATCGGCCTCGCCTCCACGATTGGGCAGGTCAGGACCGATCCTAGCGGCAGCGCGATTGCTCTTGTGCTCGCGAGCACGCTGGCCGGCCTTCGCTGCGGTTCCATCCCTGCTCCACCTCGGTGATGTGTGTTGGGCTACACGACACAACTCCCAGACCCTCACGTTCCTATGGGGGGCCGTACCAGCTGAAATCCACCATTTAGCACTTTGGATTTCGCTATTCTCCCTCCACCTAGCACCTTATACTCAGGGTTTTATTTCCGCATGGTACGGCCCCCCTCGATCGTGTCTCGCCCTCCCTCACTGGTGTGTTCAGAGGGGGGGGGGGGGGGGGTCATAACAAACACGGTACAGGATACTGGCTGGTACTGGCGGGAGACCGGTGTGCGGTGTGTGGCCGCGATCGAGCCACGAGAGAGGAGCTTGTGTTCAGCACACGATCAGGGGCCGTGGATGGAGCGAGAGCAGGTCGCGCTTGGGCTGCCGCAGCGCGACGAGGCATTTTCTTCTTACAACAATCCGATTAATTTCAATTTGTGGGAATTGCGATCTTGCGTGGTGCTGCTACGTACGTGCGTGCGCTGAGCTGGTGCACATGGGCACGTGTCATGAGCGGTAGGAAAGGTACCAGACTCTCGTTGACGTACAAAGCCCACTTTTTGCTTCTCCTTGTCAGCAAACGCTTCTGCAGCGGCAGGTCTGCGAACACCGCCTGTAGACTCCCCTCAGCGCAGTCCTTCGCTCGGTCCACGCCTAGCCAGTCGAGCAAGCCCTCATCAACGACGACTCCGCGCGCCTGTGCTAGAGCTTCTTGGGCGCGACTACGGGCTCGTGGCGTCTGTGAGAAGGCCGGCAGTATCTCGGCCGACAAGTGCCACGTCGAGGTCCAGTGGTGCACGCCGAAGCGCTGTTCCTGCCAATCGTTGTGCGTGAGCACGGCGGCCGATTTCTCAAGTAGCTGCGCGGGGCAGCCGCCGTTGAGCCGGCGGAAGCTTTTCCACGCGTGGTCGACAAAGTAGGGACCAGTCTTGTACATCGTACCCCACGGGTGGGACCGCCGCTCGGCGAGCAGCCGCAGCGCGAAGCCCCAGAACGGGTGGTCGGGTACCGACGCAAAGAAGAAGTTTGACACGTGTTGTACCGCCTGCCTTGCCGGTTTTCCTCGCCACGGATCGCGCACGAGCAAGAGAGGGACAGAACATTGCTCATTGGTGCTGCAGCGCCCTGCGCCGCCCATTGCGTCGCTCAGGGAGCGCTCGAAGTCATCGCACGGTACCACGTCCAGGTCTGCGTACACTCCTCCGTACACGGACATGATCAGCAGACGCGTCGCGTCGGCACGTTCAACCGACTTGTTATACGATAAGTACACGTTGAGCAGCTCGGGAGCGTGCGTCGACCACAGCTCGCGACTCGCCTCAGACGTCCACAGCGCCCACTGCCAGTGCCGAAGCGAATGTGGCCACCGGTGCGCCTGCACCCGCAGCACTCCTGCTGGCTGGCGCGGCGCACCTGTCGGCGCCAGCCACGCCTGGTGCAGCACCTTTGGCAACGTGGTACGCCTGGCCTGCGTGAGTGCGGCACGGTCGGGGCAGATCATATGCACACGATTGATGTAGGGGGGGGGTGCACTGCCTAGGTCGCGGAGGGGCGGGGTACTCGAGTAGTTGGGAGAGAGAGACTTTCTTCTTGTAGATTCTTCTTGTAGTTGGTCGATCCCAATAGACAGTCCGACCACCCTTCCAGGTCCAACAAGTTTGCGCCCGGCCCTCTAGCGCCGCGCGCTGGCCCCGGCTGCGTCCCCGCGCGGCCTGCCCGACGGCGTGGCGCCCGCCCTCCACCCACCTCCCCGCGCGGGGCCGCTCCGGGGCGACCCGGGCGCCCTCCGACCAAACTGCTCTATTACTATCATATAACAGTACTAGCCCGCCTCAACCCACTTTACCCATGTACATACTATTATACTACTAGTACTCGAGTAGGAAGCCTCCGGATGTAAGTGGGGCGGGTTTGCTGCTGCGGGGTCCCCCGCTGTCACCCCTCGCACCCGGCGAGGAGAAAACCGGCCCGGCTAAAGCACGCTCGGCGGCCCGGGAGCGGCCACTTTTGACCCGGCCGGGGCCCGCCGGTGCCCCTGCCTGGCCCGGAACCGGCCCTTCCTGGGCCCGCCCCACTTACGTCCGGGGCCCCAGTTATATCCGGCGGCTTCCTATGTGCATTCCCTCGGGCGTGATTTCTTTGGTGTCCCTTCTTGCACAACTCTCGAATTCTGTCCGAGGAGGCCACCGGCCAAAAGCGCATGTCTTGAAGGTCCGTCCGATACTGGAAGCCCATATAGGCACCTTACACTCCCCCGCAGTATCGCACCTCTTGAGCGACACTACGTTTCCGCAGCTGGGGATTCTCCGGGTACCCCTCTTTGTACCCGTGCTGGCCGGATTCCTCCTCCGAACAACTCAAGTTCGATCGGCCCCAGTCTCGAACTGGCAGCCACTATCTCACCGGAGGTACCATGTCCGAGGAGGCCACCGGCCAAAAGCGCATGTCTTGAAGGTCCGATACTGGAAGCCCATATAGGCACCTTACAAATTCCCCCTTGACCGCCTCATGCAAAATCTGAGGCAAAATTTGAAAAAAATCGGGGAAATCGGCAGTACCCGGGGAATTTCTCAGTCAGTGTATGTAGCTCTTACCACTTACGTACATTCCCGGAGGAGGACTGCTGACGGGTTTTCTGTGGCTGGGTATTTTCCGGCTTACCGGGGCTTTTCGACATTCACTCATAGAGAATACCCGCGCGCCCCCGGCGCCTGATCAAATCTTGATGGTGCTTCGCCGGCGTAGAAGCGGCCGCGGAGGGCTCCGGGTGCCTGAAAAAGACGGACGGAGTTACGTGGGCTGTGGGAGAGTTACTGTCGACTCAAACGACACTGTGCCGTGATCCTCTCATATATGGCTAAATAATTGACCGAGCCAAAAAAAAGTTCCACCGCTACGACTGGAGATATATCGAGATTTGGTCACCATGACCACTATGGAGAAGAGAGCTGCCGAGCGCAAATCACTCTGTGTGACACATTTCTTGTTGGCTTCTAAAAATCTCTCTCCCACTATGAAGCAAAATGTCGGAGAGAGTTATTTTTCAGTGTATGTCGCTCTTACGTAGAGCCCGCCTAATCCTTTTTCTCTCTTCAAATAAAAAGAATTTGGCTGTTTTGGCACAGTCCACAGCAGGCTGGACTGCCACGTTGGCTCATTCCGACTCGCAGTGTCAATCTCATGCCGAATCCCATGTTCGACGAGATGGCCGGCTCTTGCTCGCCGGCTTCCAAACACAGGCGCAAGAAGCTCAAGAGCTGTCCGCACGAGTGCTGCTCGTCGCTGGCGGGGGCGCCGGCGTCGGAGAACGAGCAGCAGCAGACGCCTGAGCAGCCATCGCTGAGCAAGGCCGCATCCCCAAGCCCGCAACGGGCTTTGCGGCCGCTCAACCTCACCGCGAGCTTCACGCCGCCGGCTGCGACTGGCGCCATATCTGTGGCGCCTCTGCCGACGGCGTCTTCTCCTCCGCCGCCGCCGCCGTCGGCAGGCGGCGACGTGCGCTCGACGCTCGTACTCCTTCGCGATGAGGGCTACCTCCAAATCTCCGACAAGCATCTGGAGAAGGTGGTCGCGGGAGGCCGCTTCTCCGTCGAGCAGCTCCTCGACATGCACTCGCCCAACCAGCCGGGCGGCCTGCTGCAGCTCGCCGAGGGTGGCGACGCCTCGGATCACCACCACTCCATCGTCCTGTTTACGCCGACGGACTGCGACCCCGAGCTCGGCGTCCTTTCCGTTAGCTTCGTCGGCCGCTGCGCGTGCGGGGAAGGCGACCGGCAGGACCCACTGGAGTGCGCATCGGTGCTCGCCTCCCTCGCCGACGGCCTCTCCGGCAGCATCTTCTCGTCGGGCGTGGGCCTCTACCTGGACAAGGTGCGTAAGCTCGGCAGCTTCGAGGCGCTCTCGATTCTGTTGCCGGCCGTCGGCGAGCCGGCGGCGGGCACGCGCGTCAATTCGTCGGTTGGCTGCTTCGCCGCGCTGGTCACCGGCCTGCTCGAGACGCTCTCCACCGCTGCGCCGAGGCAGGCGGTCGTGCTCTCCGCGTGGAACCAGCGCAAGGTCTGCGCGCAGGTGATGACATGCACGGGTGAAACCTTCCTCCCGCTCTGCCGCGATTGCGACCTCGAGCGGTACGACAGCATCACCAAGCCGTACCTCAACCGCCTGATCGCGAGCGAGCTGCGCAACCGCGGCCTCTCCCTGCGGGGCATGGGGCTGCTTGTGCCCTTCTCCAAGCAGGGGCGGACGGTGCGCGCACACCCCACCCTGCCATCTCCCACCCGACACGCGTCGCCCGTGGGCTGATCCCAAGACCCGCGCCGGCCCTCTCCATGCGCTCACTCCGCGCCTCGCCCCGTCGCAGGACAAGGCTGGCACGACCGGCGTGCTCCACCTCGACGCCGCCAAGCCGGGCGACGCGCCGCTCATGAACCTCGGCTGCGAGCAGCTCATCGTCGGCAACCTCGGCCACGTCGGCTGGCTGCTGAAGCGCGTGTTCGACAAGAGCGGCGTCATCTCGGTCGCGCACATCAAGGAGTACGCCGACGCCGCCGCCGCCGCCGTCGGCATGGCTCTCGGCCTCGGCGCGCTCGACGGCACGCGCCTGCTGCTCCACCTCCTCGCGGCGCCGCTGAACCCAGCCCTCGCGGCCACCACCGCGGCCAAGAAGAAGGCGCCGACGTTCCTCGCGCAGCTCGAGTCGAGCGCGGCCAAGGGCGAGAAGCAGGAGATGCTCAAGCTAGCCCACCAGTTCCTCGCTTTCGGCTCCTTCTCGCCCATCTTTGGCGGCAGGGGCGGGCATGTGCGCGCGCGCTTTGAGCGCAGCGCGGCCGAGGCCACCGCCGCGCTCGACGGGAGGTCGCTCACGGTCTGGTGCCCACATCAGCTCGACGAGCGGCGGGCGGCGCATCTGCGCAAGTCGCTGCCTTACGGCTCGCAGGTGCGATTCCGAGACACTTCCGAGACACTTCCGAGACACTTCCGAGACACGTCTCGACACGTCTCTCCGAATAGTAGGTGATCGTCGGCTCGCTGGAGCCGCACCTCCGCCGCCTCGGCCTCGCCCGCACCGACGTGCTAGTCGTGCCCGAGGACGTCGGGCCGTACGAGCTGCTCTCGCTCGTCAGCGCGCTCCAGCGCTCTGGCGCCGTTTGCGAGCTCGTCCTCTCGGCCGAGACGGCGCTCGCCATCCCGAGCCTCAAGCCCAATCAACGTGATTAGTCACGTCTCGCATTGTCGCACAGGCCGAGATGCTCTCAACGACGTACTTCTGCTGGCCTGTCGTCGTCGCCCCAGACGGCTGGGACCCAGCCGAGGCGGAGGAGTCGCTCCTCGTGCAAGCGGGCGAGCTGACGTACATCTCGGCCTCGCAGCTGTCGGGCCTCCTCTACACGCCCGACGTCACTCCGCCCGACACCGCGACGCTCTTCGCTCTCCGCTCGCTCGGCCCGCTGCTGCTTGACGAGGCGGCGCGGTGGGGACGGAAGCACCCAACCGTCGCGCAGGGGAGGATGTCCGAGGCGGACCGGCTGGCGGCCGGGCGCGAGCCGCGCAAGGCGCCGATGTCCGAGGCGGACCGGCTGGCGGCCGGGCGCGAGCCGCGCAAGGCGCCGATGTCCGAGGCGGACCGGCTGGCGGCCGGGCGCGAGCCGCGCAAGGCGCCGATGTCCGAGGCGGACCGGCTGGCGGCCGGGCGCGAGCCGCGCAAGGCGCCGATGTCCGAGGCGGACCGGCTGGCGGCCGGGCGCGAGCCGAGGATGACCGAGGCGGACCGGCTGGCGGCCGGGCGCGAGCCGCGCAAGGCGCCGATGTCCGAGGCGGACCGGCTGGCGGCCGGGCGCGAGCCGCGCAAGGCGCCGATGTCCGAGGCGGACCGGCTGGCGGCCGGGCGCGAGCCGAGGATGACCGAGGCGGACCGGCTGGCGGCCGGGCGCGAGCCGCGCAAGGCGCCGATGTCCGAGGCGGACCGGCTGGCGGCCGGGCGCGAGCCGCGCAAGGCGCCGATGTCCGAGGCGGACCGGCTGGCGGCCGGGCGCGAGCCGCGGGCTGCGCGCAAGCCGACGCAGTCGGATCCGGCTACCGCACGCTACATCTGCCCCGAGTGCGACAAGCCGGGCGAGGCGCTCGTGCGGCGAGTACGCCAAGGTGGCGAGTACAACAAAGTGCAGGTGCGTGCCGACCACGCCGCTTGCACTGCCGGGGGCTCGTCGAGGCGCCCGTCCTGCTGGGCCATTCGCGACGGTTGCTTCACCTTCGTGGGCATGACGGGGCACCACCTCGTCCCGCTCACGCGCCTTTCGCGTCCGTCCGACGGTGCGGAGGCTGCGGCCGCCAAGCAGTTGTCTTTTCGGGTGGCGACGCGAGTTCCATGATCACGTCTGGTCCAACCACACGATCGTTCGCTATAGGCATTGCGTCGACAATTGCCGGCACGGCCGCTCGGATGTGGGCTCCGTCATGATCGCGTGCGACGGGTGCGACGACTGGTTCCACCCGGCTTGCGTCGGCATGACCATTAAGCAGGCCGCCGCACTAAAGTCCTACGTGTGCGGCCAGTGCCAGCTGTGAGGCACTGTGCCTCGCGCCTTGCGCTGCTGGAAGGAAGCTCTCGGTAGCTGCCTAAGCGTCCGGAGTGGAGCCGTCGAGAGCGCGGCCATTGATCCGAGACGCTTCCTGTGAAGGCCGGCTTGTGGAAGCAGCACCACACCTGTGCATCCGACACCGTCCATGTAACATGCGCGAGACAGAGGAGGGCTCGTAGCGAGCGGGCCGCCAGCAGCAACACCGCGCGGGCGGCCAAGCTCTTTTCACAGCGCGAAGTGTGAACAGCTCCACGAATACGTCATCCCCACTCATGAAGCGCGAGGTTCTTGAGCCTTCACGGAGGTTTCGTGTTCATTTTTTTTGCTGGATTCCGCGGGATTTCTTGCCTTCAAGCCGCTTGCTCTCGATTGCTCTCCAGCCGACTGGCTGACAATGGAGCTCCACCTCTGAACGCAAGCAAAGCTTTCTTTGTCGGGCGCCTTTCCTTCCAGCCCAGGTCTTTTGCGCGCGGCTCGCGCCCAGTGGATGCCCCCCAAGCGGCAGGAAGACTCAGGCGGCTCTTCCGGCAGCGGGCGCGTGCCGCACCCCGCACCCGTGCGCGCGCGCCCACTCGCCACAACCTGCAGTCAAAAGCCGGACCCCGCACCCTGCGCCAGCGTGTGCGCGCAGCGGGACGTCCCGGCGCGCGTGAAACGCGCGCGCTGCGAGACGTCCTGACGCGTGTGAAAACCGCGCGGCGCAGCGAGCAGTCCTCACGCGCGCGCGTCCGCCTGACGCGCAGGCGGGCAACGCGCAGCAGCAAGCGCTCCGTCTCTGAGCGCGAGGCGCAGCCCGCGCCAAAGAGGTGCACAGACACGCAACACACTGCACCACGGTTGCCCTTGCCCTGACACGCTGCTGGGCGCGCAGGCCTCGATCCGACAAGGGCAAGAGCAAGCAGCGGAGCATGGACACTACATCTGAGAGGCGCGCCACCCGCGCGCGCCGTCCGCCACGCCCGTGGTTTCTCCCGCCGATCTCCCCCACTCCCGCACCTTGCAGAGCGGACGAGCCTGCTGGTGACGCGCCTCGGCGCGGAAACGAGGCTGCCGCCTCGAGCAGTGGCGGTGGCTCTTCGCACGAGCCGAGCGCGGCGCAGCAGCGCGCCGAGGCGCGGCAGGCGGCGCTCGAGGCGGCCGAGCGCGAGGCGCTCGAGATGCTCGACGAGTCCTCCGCGCGTGCGCGCGCCGGTGCGCCGTCCTGGGGCGGGCCGTCCCACGCGCTGCAGGTGCCGCGCCGCCCGCCACCCTTTCGTGGCAGTGGCAGAGCAGCGGAGGGAGCAAATCCACACTTATGCTTGCCAACCCCTCCGCGGATCGTGGGTGCGGGCAACCAGGCCGGTCGCCGCAAGTCGCCCCATGCGGCACTCGCCCTGCTCCCCTTTTGTCGCAGGGTCTCCTCCGGAAGCTCGGCGCCGGTCTGGACGACCTGCTTCCGAGTGCGTCGTCGCACGGGCGACTCAAGACGATTCTCGCTGGCCTCAAGGGCCCCGACGAGAGCATGCAGCTTAGATGCTGAATGCAGATCTGTGCATTCCCACGAGCACTCTATTCAGCCGTAGCCTCAGCCGTAGTCAATGTACTCCGTGGCCGGTCCTCTGAACACACTGCACGATACCGTACTCCCGCCCAGACTTTGGCGTCTTCACAATGCAGGCATGCAGCTCGCGTCGCTCACCGAGCTCTGCGAGGTGCTCTCGATTGGGACTGAGGTGAGCGCGCGTGCCAGCCGCACCGCCTCTGCTTCTCGCCGGCCCCTCGCCAGCCTCCCCGCCGCCCTCTCTAGCCGCGCCGGTGTCCTGCAGGCCGCCTCGCCCTTGCCGCCTCTGCCGGGAAAAAACCGGCGCGCGAGATCGCGGCTCTGAATGCGCCCGCGCGTGCCCCTCCAGGAGTCCATGTCCTCGCTGTCCGTCGACGTCTTCACGCCGCTGCTGATCTCGCTGCTGCGGCAGGAGCACAACCCAGACATGATGCTGCTCGCCTCGCGCGCACTGTGCCACCTCATGGACGCCATCCCCTCCTCCTCCGCCGCCATCGTCCACTTCGATGGCGTGCCTCTCTTTTGTGCGCGCCCCACCAACCCTCTCCAGGCGCACCCAGCACGCGGCGCCGCTGAGGCCCACCACTGCTGCACAGGCGAGCGGCTCCTGTCGATCGAGTACATTGACCTGGCGGAGCAGGCGCTGCACGCGCTGGAGAAGCTGTCGCAGGAGCACCCGCTCGCAGTCCTCCGCGCCGGCGGCATGCTCGCCGTCCTGCAGTACGTCGACTTTTTTGCGATGGGCGTGCAGCGGCGCGCGGTCGCCACGGCGGCAAACATGTGCCGCGGCTTGCCGGTCGAGTGCGCGCACTTGGTGGCGGATTCGGTGCCGTTGCTCTCCAACTTGCTCTCCCACCACGACCAGAAGCTCCTCGAGAACGTCTGCCTCGCCTTCGCGCGCCTCGCCGAGGCGTTCTCCTACTCGGCGCCGCAGCTCGAGATGCTGGCCGCGCAGGGCCTCCTCCCGAACGTCCTCCGCCTGGTGGGTGGCATGGCGTCGCCGGGCCAGTCCGACGCCCCGGTGGCGGTGTCGGACGCGACGTACACGATGCTGCTGCGGATGCTGGCGACGCTCTGCCACGGTTCGGCCTCGCTGTGCAAGCAGCTGCTGCAGCTCGACGCGTCGTCGACCCTGCACGACGTCCTCTCCGCCGACGCCACCGCCTCGCAAGGCAGCGGCTTTGCCGCCGCAATCTCGCGGCCGCACGACCAGTTGTACCAGGTGCTCGCGCTCGCGCACGAGCTGCTGCCGCCGCTCCCAAAGGGGTCGCCCTTTTCGGCGGGCGCGGCGCGGCTGCTGGCGCCGAAGCGGCGCTCCAAGCGGAACCCGGAGGGCGAAGCTGCGCCGGTGGCCGACAGCAGCGCCGGCGAGCGAACGCCCACCGAGCGCGAGCAGGCGCTGCTCGACCAGCCCGAGCTCGTGGAGCTCTACGCGAGTCGGCTCTTTGCGCTCTTCATGCACGTCCACTCGGGTGCGGTCAACGCGAGCGTGCGCTCCAAGTCCCTCTCGTGCATGGCCAAGGTGCTGCACTTTTACCCCGCCGCCGGCTTGCGCGACATGGTCCGGAGCCACGCCATCGCCGCCTTCCTCGCGCCGCTCATCACGTCGCAGGAGCACGCGTCGGCGCTGCTCGCCCTCCACATGGCCGAGATCCTCATGACCAAGCTCCCCGCCGTCTACACGGACAAGTTCCTTCGCGAGGGGGTGTTTGACGCCGCCGGCCGCCTTGCGGCACAGGCGCCGCCCCCCGCAGCCGCCGGCACGGCCGCCGCCACCGCCGCCGCCGCCGCCACCGCTTCAGCAAGCGCGACCGCGGCCGCGGTGCCATTCTCAAGTGCTTCGGGCGGAGCCTCGAGCACGCCGAGCCGGCCCACACCGCCGCCTTCGGCCGCCGCGCCGCCGCCCAGCCAGGCGCCGCGACGCACCTCACGGCACGGGCGCCCGGCGGACGCCGACGATGCCGCCGCCTCCTCCCTTTCATCCGCCACTTCCGCCGCCGCCGCCGCCGCCGCCGCAGCGGCGGCGATGCCGCCCCCGGCGGAGCGGCAGCCGGCGGACCGGCGCCGCTCGTCGGCTGCCTCGACCGCGTCCAGCGGCGCGCGCGCTGAAGCGGCCGCGGCGCCGGCGCCGATGCCGCCTCCGGCGCCGCGGCTGCCTCACCTGAGCTCGGCTGCGCTGGCCGCGCAGGAGGTTGCAGCGTCCGTCGCCTCGCGCGCGGCGCGATTCCACGAGATGTTTGTTTCGAGCAACCCGACTCTCGCGGCGGCGGTCACGTCGGGGGAGGGATCGGCCACGTTGCGCAAGCTGCGCTCGCTCGCCACCTCACTCTCGGACGAGTCGCTGTACTCGACCGTCAACCCGAAGGTGCCGCTCGCCGGGTCGTGGACGACCTTTGCGGACGTGCGCGCGTTGCGGCAGCTCGCGTCGCTGCTCGACGAAGTCGGCGACGGCGTCTCCACCTTCGAGCTCGCGAAGTCGGGCCTCGTCGAGGCGTTGCTCACCTACCTCACGGACGCGGACGCTGTGCCGGCCGATGTCGCCAACCGCGCAGCCGCGCTTGAGCGACGGCGCGTGCGGTTGCGCGTCTTCTGCGCCGTCTTCCTCGGCCTCCCGCCGCCCGCGTTGCCGCCCGCGGCCCCGCCGCGCAAGGGCGTCCCTTCGCCGCCGCCGGCGTCGCCGGAGGAGTCTGGCGCCGTGGCCCAGGCGCCTCCCGCTCTGGGTCTGCTGGTGGGCAAGCTGCAGGACGCGCTCAACATCGTCGAGCGGCTGCCGCTCGTGCTGAGCGACTCCTCCTCGTCGGACCCGCACTCGCACGGGCTCAAGGTGCTCACGCAGCCATTCAAGCTCCGCCTCTCGCGCGCCTCGGGCGAGGCTGCAGGTGGACCCTTTTCCCCTCCCCCCCCCCCCTTGGGAATCCCCCCCCCCCCCCCCCCCTTCCCCCCACCCACACACTCCCACCACACACACCACCACTACCAGGTAACCCACATACCCCCCCCCCCCCCTCCCCCCCTCGCCTCGCTACGCCTCCTCTCACTCCGCTACCCCGTTCACGCAGGTCTGAAGGACTACGCCACCAACGTGGTGCTCATCGAGCCGCTCGCGACGGTCGGCGCCATCGAGGACTTCCTTTGGCCGAAGGTGCGGCGCGACGCGGCGCGCTCCTCGCGCGATTCGGGCGAGCGGCCGTCCGGGGAGCGGCAGTCTGGCGAGCGGCAGTCGGGCGGCAACAGCGCTCCCGACGAGGCGGGCGCCAGACCCGACGGCGGCAGCGGAAGCTCCTTGGGCGGCGGCAACGCGGCGGCTGCGGCGGCCGCGGCCAGCGCCAGCGCCCGCGAGGGGCACGGATCGGGCAAGGCGCCCCTGCGCGGCAGCGGTCTGGACCGAGCCGTTGCGCAGAGCGCCGGTGTTCCCGCGGGCCGCGGCGGCAAGGCGAGGCAGGGCCTCGCAAGCGTCGGTGTCGTCCTCAGCGGCTTTGGGCGAGCGGGCGGCGGCGACGAGGCGGAGGACGAGGAGGACGAGGAGGAGGAGGAGGACGACGACGAGGACGAGGACGAGGAGGAAGAGGGCTCACTCGTCGGTTCGCCCACTTTTGGCGCCGCGTCGATGGACGCGTCCGAGTGTGTGCACGACTTGCAGCTCGGCTCGCCCCCCGACCCCGGGCGGCCGCAGCCGCGTGACGCCGCAAAGGACCTCTCTTCATACGTGCTGCCGAGGACGGCGGCCGCGGCGACCGTGTCGCGCCGAGGCTCGTCGCTGCGGCCGGGCAACAGCGCTGTCACCGCGGCGGAAGGGCGTGGCCGGCAGGTTTCCGCCCCGGCCGGCGGCGCCGCCGCTGCTGCCGCTGCCGCTTCGGCGGCGTCGGCTCAGAGCGGCGGCAGCGGACCGGAGGGGTCGGGCCGTGGCGGCGGCGAGCGGCAGCAAAAGCTGGTGCTCATGCTCAACGGCCAGCCATTGCCGTGCGGCGTCACCATTTTTCAGGCCATCCGCCAGTTTGGTTCGCCGAGCCCCACCGCGCGCGAATTGGCGGCGGCGGCGGGCGGGCCGGCGGCAGGCATGCCTTCGCTGCCCGCCTCCCTCTCGCAGCGGCTGTGGGGCGCCGTGTACACGCTCACCTACCGCCTCCCCATGGAAGTCGACGAGCTCGGCGGTGGAGGCGGGCGGGGCAGTGTGGAGCCAGCTGGCAGCGGCCGATCGTCCGAGGGCGAGGAGGGGGTGCGGTGCGCCGTTGAGGCGCACGTGCTGCCGCCTGGCACGGATCCGCTGCTCGGCGCGCTCGGCGCGGCGGCGCCGCCGCTCTGCGCCGAGTCAGAGGGGGCAGGCGCGGTGCTCAAGCTGCTCTGGTTCCTGCACCGGCTGAACGAGCATTGGGCACGGCTTTACTCGACCGCGGAGGTGCCCGAGGCGCAGCGGGGCGCGCCGGCGCTGCCGCCGGCCGTGTTTCCAAACTCGAAGCTCAACGCCAAGCTGATGCGGCAGCTGCAAGACCCGCTCGCTCTCTGCTCGCGCTCCTTCCCGTCATGGTGCCCCGAGCTCGTCAACGCGTGCCTCCCTCATCGGGCTCGAGCTATGAACACGCCTTGTTCACAACAGGTGCGCCACGCTGGTCAACGCGTATCCCTTCCTCTTCTCCTTCGGCACGCGCCGCCTCTTCCTGCACTCGACCGCCTTCGGCCTCTCCCGCGCGCTGCAGCGGTTGCACGCGCACGCGCACGAGGCCTCATCCAGTTCCGCTTCCAGTGGCGCCGAGTCGAGGCTCGAGTCGCGGCTGGGTCGGTTGCCCCGCCAAAAGGTGCGCATCTCTCGCTCGCGGCTGCTCGACTCGGCGGTGCGCGTGATGGAGCTGTACGCGGCGCAGCCGGCGCTGCTTGAGGTCGAGTACTTTGGCGAGGTTGGCACGGGTCTCGGTCCCACGCTCGAGTTTTACGCGCTGGTCTCGCACGATTTGCGCAAGGCGGAGCTCGACCTGTGGTACCACGAGGAGCAGCCCATCTCCGATGAGCCGCCCGCCGCGGCACCGGACAGCACCGAGGCGCCGCTCGGCGGCGCAGCGGCGGAGCGGGCGCGCGACAAGCACGAGAAGCTGGTGCGCACGCGCTTCTCGTGGCCTTCTACCGCCCACCCTGGCAACCACGCGGCGTCACACTTTTGCCACTTGGACAGGTGCATGCGCCGTGCGGTCTGTTTCCGCGGCCGGTGGCGCAGGAGGCGGACGGAAGCGGCGTGCCCAAGCGGACGATTCAGCTCTTCACCTTCATTGGGCGGCTATGCGCCAAGGCCATGCTGGACGGCCGGCTCGTCGACCTCTGTTTCGCGCCGCCCTTTTACCGCCATTTGCTCTGCTGCGAGCTCGGGTCGACATCTGCTCGGCCTCTCGCCCCCGTGAACGTCGTGGTCAGAGCGGTTTTGTCCGAGTAGGCTCGAGGATCTGCACGATCTCTCGCCGCAGCTTTTCCGCTCGCTACACCAGCTGCAGGCCCTCGCTTCAGAGCGGTCCCGCCTCTTGCGCGCGGGGGGCAAGCCTGCCGAGGTTGCGGCCGCCGTCGCCAGCCTGACGCTGCACGGCTGCCCCGTCGATCAGCTTGGGTCTCGAATGACGCGCTCCCGCCCTCTGCCGTGAAGGGCGGCTCCTAAGAGCTCTCGCTGTGAGCAGGCTCGATTTCACGCTGCCCGGTTTCCCCGATTTCGAGCTCAAGCCGGGCGGCGCCGACGTTGACGTGACGATTGACAATTTGGGCGAGTACGTGCGCCTCGTCACCGACGCCCTCTTGGTGGGCGGCGTCCGCGCTCAGCTCGCCGCGTTTCGCCAGGGCTTCTCAGACGTGTTTTTGGTCTCTCGCCTTGCGCCCTTCACGCCGTCAGAGCTCGACGTCCTCCTCAATGGCGCGCGCGAGCGGTGGGACAAGGCGACGGTGATCGAGCTGCTGAAGTTTGATCACGGCTACACGCGCTCGTCCGCCGCCATCTCGCACCTGCTCGACGTGATTGCAGATCTGACGGACGCGCAGCTCGCTTCCTTCCTCAAGTTTGTCACCGGCAGCCCGCGGTTGCCCGTCGGCGGGCTCGCGCGCCTTTCTCCGCGGCTGACCATCGTGCAGAAGAAGCCAGAGAGCGGCGTCTCGCCGGACGCGTACTTGCCGTCGGTGAGATGTAGCCGAGATGCAGCTATTCCGCATCTCACACCCGAAGCCCCGAAGGAGAGAGCGACGAGGGCCCCTGCTCACACCCCCACTCTTCCCGACACCGCGCCCCCCCCCCTCCGCTCGCAGGTGATGACGTGCGCAAACTACCTCAAGCTGCCCGACTACTCCTCCAAGGAGGTGATGCGCGAGCGGATCCTCACGGCGATCAACGAGGGACAGGGCGCCTTCCTCCTCTCGTGAGCAAGTGCGCGGCAACTGCTGCTTCCCTGGGCTTCCATTTTCGGTATGGCATCATCATGGGCATTGGGGGATTGGCGCTGGTGGAGAGGCGCCTGGACCCCTTGGGATATGAGAAGAAGATTGGCCCAGGTACGGATTTATCGAATTTGCTCAAAATCTGCAGGCGCGGAGCGCTTGCGAAAACAGTGAAAACGGGGCTGCGGCCCCCCGCGCGTGTGCCGTCCTCCCACATCCCTCCTTTGGGTCTTGTCTAAGGACAAAAAAACCTACGCGCTACGGGATACGTAAGAGCCAGATACCGAAGCACATGCACATGCTGCATGTGCATGTGCATGTGCATGTGCGTGTGCATGTGCGCATGTGCATGCACAAGGAGACGCCGTCTCACCCCCTTGGCCGTCGCACCTTCATGCGGCGCGCCTGCTTGTTTGGCTCGTAGAAGACCTCGAGCGAGCGATGGTACCGCTCCCACAAGCTGGCGTGCGCCTCAATATGGGCGCGCGCCACGGCAAGCGGCAGCAGCGGCGCTGGCAGCGCCGGACTGGCGGCCGCAGCGCCGCCCGCCAGTCTGAGCGCGAGCGGGCGGGGGGCAAGGGCGTCCGGAGAGACGGAGGCGAGGAGACGGTACAGGGGTAGAGCTGCCGTCGCCTCCGCCGCTGCCCACTCTCGCGCACGAGAGGGCTGCGGCAGCGCGCCCTCGCCACTCGCCAGCAGCATATGGGCCTCAGCCTCCATCTGCGCCCGGCGCGCTTTTGCCCGCTCCTGCAGCTGCGCGCGCCGCGCCGCCCGTCGCTTCTGCCTGGCTGTTTGGTGTCTCTCCTCGAGTGCCCGCCTCGCCTCGTCCACGCCCGCAGCGCGCTCCGTTTCCTCCTCCTCCGCCGCCCCCTCCTCCTGCTCCTCCTCCACTCTGGCTGCAGCCCCCGCCAGAACGCTCGCACGCTGCTCCACCCGATCCGAGAGCGGCGCCGGCGCAGCGAAGCCCACGTAGCGCTCCAGGAGCCACCACAAATCCGCGTGGCGCGGGCCACCGCCAGAGGCTTCCTCGCCCCCCTCCGCTCCCACCGCCCCTGGCCACCCCTCGAATTGTGAGAGTTCACAGCCGCCCTCGAGCTGCTCTAGCACACCGCACCGCGCGAGCGCGCCCAAATCGACCGCAGCCTCCACCTCGGCCGAACCCGCTGCCGTTGCCGCCTCCGCCGCGCCAGCCAGCTGCAGCCCAACCTATCCACCGCCAGCCCTTTTCAAAGAGGCGCGCACATCCGGCCGCGTCCACACCAGTGGCGTACCTTTCGCACGTCGGCCCTCCGAAGCAGGTGGACGAGGGGGGCCGCGAGGTCTCGAGGCCCCTGTTCACACGAGAGGAAGCGTGAGCTGAGAGGCGATGCTCACAACGTGAGGCGCCGTGAGGTCTCGAGGCTCCGACTCCGATTCCGGTTCCACCGTGCCAAGCGAGCTTTGGAGTCGGAGCAACTCGACGGCGGATGGCGTCGCAATGCTGAGGAGCGGCGCGCCATCAGCGCCCCCGAACGTCGGGCCGCGCTGCAGCAGCGATAGCGCGACAACTCGCTCGCCATCCGGGGCCTGTTCACAGCTCGACCTGTGAGGAGACGCCGTTCACAGCTGAGCGGGCGGAGCGAGTCGTCCGCCTCGTCGAGTCGCCTAAATCGCCGCATCAGTCTCGGCTGAGCTCGGCTGTATATTCAGCTCCTCTCGGTCCTTCTCAAGCTCCTCGGCTGCCGAATCGTGTCTTGCACGGCCGCGGCGATCGCAGAGGCGGAGGCCGACACGCGGACCGTTGCGGCGCTCGTGTAGCACGGTGACCCTGTGCCACAGCCGGGGGGCGCGACGGCATCTCAGCGACGGCATCTCAGCCATCGACGGCCACCTCAGTGGCCCTCACCCCTTGCCCACAGGGGCCGTCCGAGGTGAGCGGGGAGGGTGCCTGGGAGGTGTGTGCCTGGGAGGTGTGTGCGCGCGTCTGGGAGGTGTGCGTGTGCCTCGGAGGTGGCGCTTTGAGGCGGCTATCTACACGGCGCCACCGCTCGCAGCGAGCATGTCGCCGAGCGCCAGGCGGTGCGATGCACGGTCCTGTTGCGTGTGATTCTCGTCGGTCCACCTCGGACCTTTCGTCTCACCTCTCGTCTCTTCGCGGGAGCGGCAAGTGGCGCAGCATCTCAATCTCGGCTCATGCCACCTCCCGCAGGTAGGCCAGCAGCTGCCACAGCGACACACCGGCGGGCCGAGCGTGCCAGTCGATCGCCCCTCTATTCATCTCCGCCACGGAGGCTCTGACCTGCTGTGTGCCACCGCCTGCGCGGTCACTGCCTGCGTCGCCCCCGCTGCTGTCTGCCACTGTGCCGCTGCTGATGCACGAGCTGCCGCTCCCGCCCACGCTATCGCGGAGAGAATGTAGCTGCAGCTGCGGCGGCGGTCGCGCCGGTGTGAGCTCCACTACCCTCGAGCCGCGAAGAGCCGCCGCAACCTCTCCCGGTGTCGCCTTGAGCAGCCGCATTTTCGGGAGCGTGCAGAGTGCCTCCAGCCGCACCCAGCCGGCGCCGCGGGCGATAGCTCGCAGCAGCGTCGGGTCGCGCGGCAACAGCCTCCGGCCCAGCCATCGCTCGGCGTGGCCACGCAGCAGCGCTCGACGCGAGCCCGACGCCTCCCCTTCGTTCGCTGCAGCGAGCTGCGCGCGTGCCTGGCTGCCCACCCGCCAGCCGCTCGGCCGCATTGCACCTGGGTTCGGACTTTTTGGTATGGTATGAGACCATAGCCCCCGCCTGCTGACAGACCCAGCCTCCCGGCTGCCGGCCTCGGGCGGTCAGGACCATACCCCCCCATCCTTTGGGCCGCGATTGTACCATACCATACCCCGGAAAAAGTTGGAACCCTGGCGGCGCTTCTCCTTCTGCTCCCGTCGCAAGAAAAAGGATCGTAAGGCGCGCCAAGAACTGGAAGCGCAACTCTTTCTCAGATACTGGGCACGGGACTGGCACGCACTAGCCAAAAGAAAGGAAAAACTTTCGCGTGTGTTGTGCGCGTAAAAACGGTGTGCCGCGAGGGGTAGGGGGGACGGCACACCGTTCTCGACCTCTCGAGGTTCTCGAGGTGGATATCCTTTGGCCGCGTTGGGTAGCGAGGATTGGCGTGACGCGATCCACGCAGGCGTGTTTTCTGACGGCCGACACACCGTAATTTTCGCAGATACAAAGCAGACGTCCTGCAGTTTTTCTCTATTGCAATACAGGAGTGCTCACAGAGGTGCTCCTCCTCCATCACAACTACGTGACGACCGACGTACGCGAGTTCCACGTACAGACACACAGGGAGACGGACACCGACAAGCCGTACAGAGGGGCGGACCGCTTCTCGCTTGCCTTCAAGCACGCAGACGCACAGGTCACAGCACAGACAGCACACAAATAGGGCTCGCGACAGACTGCGTGCGAACAGCAATGTACCGGTACATCGTACTCGAGTAGGCGCTCCCGGGGCTGGGGAGTGTGATCAGACCGCGTCCGCTCCCTTCACCATCAGCGCCTTGGGGGCGCAGACGTAGCCGTAGGTGGTGTGGTTGATTGCGTGGAGCAGCATCGCCCACGTCGCCATCGTGTTGAACACGAGGCCCGCCCCAAATGCGTAGACCGGGTATGCGAGGCCCCAGTGCAGCCACTGCAGCGGCGAGATCGGGAGCATCTTGGACGCCTCGCGCCGCGGCTTGAGGATGCACTGGTGCAGCACAGCCTCGCGCACGAGCGTGCGGACCCACTGGAAGCCCAGCGTCAGCAGTGGCAGCCCCACCGTGAGGGCGAGGGCACGCGGCGGCAGCGCAGCGAGCATCGCCCACATCTGAGGAAAGAGCAAGATCAGCCATGGAGGCACCACCGTCGTGGTGAGCATCTGGCCGGCCGTCAGCTGCAACATGCGCAGCCAAATCTTCCAGCGAAGCAGCGGGAAGAGCGAGGCGACCCACGCCGTCTCCTCAATGCCCCACATGTGCCGCTTCGCCTGCACCCAGCGGTCGCGCAGCCCGGTCACGCTGTCGTTCAGGATGATCGACCAAACTGGGACCACCACGTTGGCGGCGGCGTTGGTGAAGGCGACCGCCTTGAGCGTGGTGTGCAGGTCCTCGCTGGTGTTGTCGGGGTGCCAGTAGTCGATCAGGTGGGCCATGCCGAGCGTGAGCGAGTAGTTGGACTGCGCGGGCTGGAACTGGAGCGCGGAGAAGGTGCAGTACTGCGTGCGCTCGATCTCAAAAACGGCGACGAGCGGGTGGCATGCGGCGAGGTTGCGGTACGTGTTGATCGGCGAGTCGAAGAGGGTGTGCCTCCCGTCGGGCTGGCGGCAAAACTCGGCCTCGAGGTGCTCGAGGAAGACCGAGTCGAACTGCGAGTCGGCGTCCGCCGTCGTGACCATCACAGTGTACGGGTCGATCGACCTTGCCTGCGCCCACGAGTAGAGCTCCATGCACGCGTGCCGCTCGTTGGACGACTTGCCGGCCACCTCGCCGGGCCCGAGGCTGTGCCGCGTCTGGAAGAGCTCGAGGAAGGCGCCACCGAACTCGGCGTGCAGCCGTGCGAAGGTCGAGTCGGCGCTCTCGTCGCGCGCCTCGGTGGCGAGGATCACGACGCAGCTCTTGGCGAGGTTGTTCGCCGCGAGCGAGCCGATGGTGGCGGCGAGCACCTCGAACGGCTCCTTGTACGCGCAGATGATTACGGCGTGGACCAGGCGCTCGCGGTCCTCTGGCAGAGCCGGCCGCCTCAGCCCGCGAAACAGGCACTTGAACGTCAGAACATCGAGCCCCACCTCGTAGCAAATCTTGGCGAGGACCGACACGGCGATGCTGGTCACCACGCACGGCGCCGTCAGCGCCGCGTCGATGTGCTCGGCGCCGCCGTCGGCGAGGACTTGCGTGGCGACGGGCAGGAAGAAGAAGGCGGCTATGCCCATGCAGAGGAGGCTGAAGCACGGCACCAGGGTGAGGTAGCGCATCAGAGCGTGCCCCGAAGCCTGCCACGGTAGCGACAAGCGGCCCTTGGCATACTCGACTTCGGTGATCCACTCGAGCCAGCCGTCGAGCGACCCCGCGCCCTCGTACTTGAGCGGCGGAGCCTCCACGTCGCTCGTCTCAGCGCCCTTGGTCGCGAACGAGTTTGGGGCGAGTTTGCTGAGGGTTGCCTCCAGGGGCAGCGAGCGGTCCTCAGTCGGATCATACGGAGCTGACGGCGGCCGCGGATGGAGGCTGGGGCTGCGGGCCGCCGGTGCGGTGCAGAGGAGTGACGAGAGCCACGTGGGCTCGAGGACCAGGCCGAAGAGGCGGCGGACGGGCGAGCTGCAGAGCAGGGCGCAGAGGGCGAGGCAGAGAGCATACTGCGAGGCCAGCACTAGCAGGTGCGACGGGAGCCGCGTCAGCATCGGCAGGGGCGGTGCCACGGTCAGCAGCCTCTCGCGGCCAGCGAGCACAAACTCGTGCAGCAGAAAGGCGTAGAGGGTGTGCTTTCCGAAGCCGGTGAACCAGCGGGTCGAGCGAGGCACGAGCGTGAGCAGGACCACACAGAGCTGCGCGATCTCAATCACGTGCTTTGCGGCGCGGCGAGTCCAGTAGAGCCGGTACGGCAGCGGCACGCCCTCAGCCGCCAGCTTGGCGGTGGCCTCGAACTCGGACTGCGCATAGAACCAGCCGTAGGTGCCGTGGTTGTCGGGGAGCGGCTCGAGGAGCGTCAGCGCCATCGGCAGCGCCACCATCAGACCGAGACCGATCGTGAAGGTAGTGGGCGTGCGCGGCACGGCGGTGGCCAGGCGGTCCAGGGGGCACGCCCACCCGGCGAGGAAGTAGGGCAGGAAGCCGAGCGCGTGGTCAAACGAGAAGAAGCCGCCCTCGCCCACGTCCCAGTAGCCCGCGATGTGCGAAGCGCCGATGGCGAGAAGCACAACGAAGGGGCCGCGCAGCGGCCAGATGGCGAAAGAGAGCAGGCGCCAGAGGATGAGCGCCTCGAGGTACCACTCGTGGTGGTGCGCCTTGAAGGTCATGACGTCGGCGAGGACGGTGCACGGCGCCTCGCCACCGAGGATGACACGGTTGAGCAGAGGCTTCGCAGCAAAGACCCAGATGAGGGTCGGGAGCACGAGCGAGCGGACAAAGGAGGCGAAGCGGCTGGCGTCGACCGGCTTGGCCATGAGGTTGCCCGAGACGAAGCAGGCGAGATTGATGCGCCAGTTGGTGACCTGCAGGAGGAAGAGCAGCGTCGGAGCCGCGCCCTGGAGCCAGCTCTGGTAGTCGTGCAGGACCAGGTGGGTCGAGTGGTCGAGGTTGTAGTAGAGATAGTGCCCAAAGATGATGAGCGACGAGCAGAGAAACTTGGCATTGTCCAGGTGCGCCGACCGGCCGCTGTCGCGGCCGCCGTCGGGCGCCGCGCTCTGGAGCCAGAGGGCGACGAGGCAGAGGAGGCAGAGGCCGACGGCGACGATGGCGGCGCAGGCGATGGAGAGGCGAATGTGCGGCGCGGCTGCGGCGGCCCGCGCGTCCTCCTCTGCCGGGTCCCACTGCCACAAGCGGCTCGCGTAGGTGGCCTCGTCCGCGTGTCGCATCGTCGCAAAATCCGCCTCTAGCAGGAAGGCGTACGGGTCGACGCCGGTGGCCGCCAGCAGCTGAGCCACGAAGGCGGCGGCGGGCGCCTTGGTGAGCTGGTTGGAGGCGTACGCGTCGCGAAGGGCGCCGAGCGAGGCCTCGTCGCCCCCGCCGATGAAGCCTCCGATGTGGGACGGGTAGGAGAGCTCGTTGACGGAGAAGGTGCCCGCCTCGCTCAGGAAGACGTCGAGCCGCAGCCAGTCGGCGCCGAGAACGCGGGTCGTCGAGCGTGCCACCTCCTCGAGGCGCTTGCGGTGGGTCTCGAGGAGGGTCACGGCGCGGGCGCAGTGCTGGGCCGTGTCGCCCAGGTTGCGGCCACCGAGGCAGGCGACCTCACCGCCGCGGAACTGTACGTCCAGGTACGTGTCCCCCTTGAAGGGCAGCGCCTGCAGGCGCGCCGAGGCGAGGCGGCCAAGCGGGGCGTGGACCTTGACCTCGAGGCGGAGCTCGCCGGGCTCGCAGTCGAAGCCGCCGCGAACATCGGGCACCAGCGACTCCTGCACGATCACAGCGCGGTGCTCGTATCTCTGCCCCCACTCGGAGTGCCACCGGTTCTTGACAAATTTGTCGGCGTAGTCGGCGAGCCGGTTCCGGTTCCAGCCCTCAGAGGCCCAGCGGTGCTCGTCCATCACGAGCACGTCCACGTTGCCTCCGTTGGTGGCGCTCTTGAGGACAAACTTGGTCTTGCCGTGCATGGCGGCGAGGAAGGCGGAGCGGTTGAAGCGAGGCCACGCGCCTTTGCACGCGCGGCGAGGGTGGGGTCAGAGGGAGAGGCTGTGCGCAGCGGCGGCGGTCACGGGTGAGGCGCACGGTGGGGTCAGAGGGAGGCTGTGCGCAGCGGCGGCGGTCACGGGTGAGGCGCACCCAGCGACTTGGTTGCGAACGCGCCGTACAGGACGGCGGGCTGAGGCACGTTGAGGGCCTCGAGGAGGGAGTGGGACAGCAGCTTGTTCTCCATCACGCCGAACGACGCGCCCGCGCGCCAGCGCTTGAGCTGGGCCATCACACGCTCGGTGCCCTTGAACGGGACGTTCGACACCTCGGGCAGGAGCCAGAACTCGTCGGAGATGGTGTGGGTGAGAGCGCTCTCGCTCAGGGCCGACTTGTCGAAGAGCCTGCGCGGAGCTGGTGTCGTGCACTCATACTGGTAGCAGTTCCAGAGCGCCTTCGAGGTCGGGTCGGGCGAGCGGACGGCGTAGAGGCAGGCGACCTCGCAGCCGAGCGAATTGGTGGCGGAGGCGCAGCCGTCGAGGCACTGGCCGAGGTTCGTGTGGGCCGATGGGCACGTGGAGAGGCAGGACGAGGCGAAGGCTGTGACCGCGAGGGGCAGCGTCGTGAGCATGGTGAATGCGAGGAAGCAGACCTGTGATGCAGACACGCTCGGCTCGAGAAAGCAGCCCAGCCGGGTTTCTTTTCTGGAGTTCCGGCTCCTCCATCAGCCACAACTACCAACCAACCTCTGAAATGGTGCCACAACTACCATCCGTCCTTGCTTCGCATAGCCAACTAACTCCACTCTCTCTCTCTCTCTTCTTCTTTCTTTCTATCTATCTACATACAGCAAGCAAGCACAAGGCATAGTGAATTTCCAAATTAATTCTGTACTATTATCTACATTACACCCACTATTGCGTCATATGTACACTATTGCGCCATACCTAGCAATTTTTCTTGCCGTACCTAGCAAGCGAAACCGAGGTTGCAAAGTGCGAGCCGAGAGCGTCTTGCGCAGCGCATCCAATCTTTCTTGCCGTTTGGGCAGCAGCGTGCTGCACTGGGCTGGGGGGGGGGGGGGGGTCAGACGTTACTCGAGCGTTGTGTGCATCGGCGTCACGCGGGAAAAGAATTCTTAAAATACAAGCCTCTCTCACAGCACAAGGGAGGGCGCCAATCCAGTATCCACGCCCTAGTCGTGCCAGTGCGCTGTTTGTTTGCTGTGAGCGAGGCCTGTATTTAACGGACATCCCAAGCTAGGGCTGGGTCGAGGACCGAGACACGTCCCCACCTTTGCAGGATTTTGCAAAAACAACGGCGCATCGCGGAGAGGGCTGGGCACAGGGCACAACTCGCACCAAAACGCCCTACCTACCTACCTATTGCGGGCGCCAATCGCCAGGCTCCGTGCCCCACCTACCTACCTATTCCCAGGCCGCGCAGCGAAGCGAAAAAATACCCGTTAGCCCTCTGTGAATAGGCTCCTAGCGCCCGCCGCGCGCCGGCTTGTACCCTGAGGGAGGGTGTAGAGGATGTAGAGTGTAGAGCGCTGTAGAGCTGTAGAGATGTAGAGCGCTGTAGAGCTGTAGAGCTCTACATCCGGCGCGTGACGATGTGAGTCGCCTGTAGAGCGATGTAGAGCGCGATTTTGCTGTAGAGTTTGTTGTAGAGGCTCTACAGCCAAACCGCCGGGAAGGCAGTGACTCAAAGAGGTCGAGCCGCGCTAATGGGGTGTCTCCGAGCTTACTGGAGCTCTGATGGACAGCCCTGGCTATCCCTGACACACAGAGAGTCACTCTGACGGCACACAACACCCTATGACTGCGTCATGACCAGCCTGCCATGTGTCGCCGGTGCCGCATTCGTCGCTGTGCTTCTTTAGCAGGCGGTGGACTGTCGGCTGCGAGGACGGTCGCATTTGCGCGAGGCGAGGCGAGCATTCAGACGCGTTGCATGCGCCATGCCTCGCGCCAGCGCGTGCGGGAGCTCCTGGCTGAGCGTTGAGTCCAGGCGAGTTGCGCTGGCCACGATCGCTACGCCGAGCCGAGCTGACGCGCCGAGGCGCCGGCCAGTCGCAGCCGTGAGGCATGCCACAGCAGCAGAGGCACCTGCCACCCATTGGGCGGGCAGACAGAAGGCCAGGGCAGCACTGGCAAGTGCAACGCGCCTCATGTCGGAGAGCGACCGTGCCTCGTTCGCCGCTTATGATGTAGAGTTTGTTGTAGAGATTTCACGTTGTAGAGCGCCTCTACATCGCTCTACAGGCGACTCACATCGTCACGCGGCGGATGTAGAGCTCTACAGCTCTACAGCGCTCTCCAGCGCTCTACATCTCTACAGCTCTACAGCGCTCTACACTCTACATCCTCTACACCCTCCCTCAGCTTGTACCGCGGTGCGCGCCGCTCGCGAGCCCGCCAGAGCATGGCCTACTGGGCTCTCGAGGCGTTGGACGGCTCCAAAACGGCACTCTCTTCCCTCGACAGAGTCGAGGGCACGGACCCTCCCGCCTACAAGCTCGGTCGCCGCCCGCACGAGCCACGAGAGCCACTTCGGCACCCTTCCGATTTGCGTCTCACGCAATCAGGCGCAGCTCACCACCACCACCACCTACCTACCTATTGCGGGGCCCTCTGGGGCGGTCAAAACCGGACCTACCTACCTACTGCATGGGGTCTACTGCAGACCCCCTATCTGGGTAGGAGCCGGAACCCAGCGCGCTGGCTCCACCTGGTGCTCGCGTGCTCCACCGCTGCTCCACCGCCTGCAGTCTCCGTGGTCACATTCGTGCCTCGCTGCCCGACGCCAGGCTGCGTCAGGGGCACCACCACGCCGCTGCTGCAGATGACCGACAAGATCGAGATCGAGGTCAAAGAGCTCACCGAGGACTCGATCACCTTTGTGCTGTCTGGCTGCGACACGTCGACAGCCAATGCTCTTCGCCGCGTCATGATCGCTGAGGTGCCCACCATGGCGATCGACAAGGTGGAGGTGCTCGCCAACTCGACGGTGCTCCACGACGACTTTATTTCACACCGGCTGGGGCTCGTCCCACTCTTCTCGCTGCTCGCTCGCTGGGGCGATAAGGAACTCGTGCCGTATCGCCACGGTGACGCCGCGACCTACGGCACGGATTCGGAGACAGGGCTTCCGCTGGATCAGACATTCCGGTTCAATCGCGACTGCGACTGCATGACGACGTGCCCAAAGTGCACGGCCGACTTCACGCTCGAGGTCGCGTGCAACCAGGACGAGACGCTCGAGGTGACGACCCGCGAGCTGAAGCCGGACCAGCCCCTCCGCTGCTACGCGGCAGACGGCAGGCGGCGAGAGGATGACGGCGATTTTGAGCCCGACGCCTCGGCAGGCGGCGAGCACATTCTGCTCGTCAAGATGCGCAAGGGGCAAAAGCTGCACATCCGGGCGTCGGCGCAGCTCGGCATCGGCAAGGAGCACGCGAAGTGGTCGCCCTGCTGCACCGCAGGTCCAACCCCGGGCCCGCGGAGCCCGTCAATGCCACGGCGCTGCACAGCTAGCCCCCCCCCCCCCCCCCCCACCCAGTCTTTGCTGTCGATCCGACTGTCATCTTCAGCGAGAAGGTGTACGCCACGATGTCAGCGGCACGGAGGCTCCGAGATGCGCTCTGCGCCGCCTACTTTGACACCACCCACGGCCACGAGTCCCACCGTTTGCAACGGTAGGAGGGACTTTGTCGATGCGTGCCCGAAGAAGGTAGCACGGCCGCATGAGCCGCGCGATTACCTGGTTGCTGACGGGGCTAACGAGGAGAGCTGCGTGCGCACTGACGAGGCCTCGGCGTGCATGGCGCGCGCCCGTATTGCGCCACCGCACGACCTCGGAGAGGAGCTTGCATCCTACCCCTAACCCTACTAGCCAACTCCGCCGCCACCATTCCTCTGCTAGTGGCCTCCTTGTCCGCCCGCCCACGGACCCGCCGGCCGTCTGCCCCCTCGCCCCTCGCCGGCAACCCACTCCTTGACGCCGCGCTTTGCGGTGTGTCGCGCAGGTGTGCCTTGACTGTCTCGAGCAGGCAAAGGAGTTCCCCGGGCTCGCCAAGGCGCGAGACCACCAATGCCGCCGCCAGCCCTGCCGCCTCTCTGCCCCCGCCGACCCCGGCCCAGCACACGGTGATTGCTGCCGTTGCCGCTTTGCTTGCGGCGGTCTACCGCCATCGCCGCCCCGCCTCGCCGCCATCGCCGATCTGGTATTTTTGGCTCTGCAGGTCGGCGAGCGCGAGAGGCATTTCCGCTTCACGGTCATTCGATGGGCGGAGAAGGCGCTGTGTGCTTGGCCAGGCTGTGAACTGGGAGGTCATACGTAGGTCGAGTCGACGGGGGCGCTCAAGCCGGAGGAAATTGTCGAGCGAGCCGTGGAGGATTGCCGCCACACTTCTTTGATAGCATTGCTCCGCACACCCGCACCATGGACTCCACGCATCGCTAGCGTTCTGATTTGTGCCCGCCCGCCCGGCGTTAGGTGCTCAAAAAGAAGCTGCGGGATGTGCAGGCCAACTTGATCGCCGTCGTCGACAATGAGGAGGCCATCGGCCGAGGCTGAGTGCTGCCGCACTACTCGCGCGCCGCAACGTCATCTCGTGCGCGAGAACTAGCTGTCCCCGGGCGAACCATTCGGACTTTCTGGACGACAGGACAAGTCTCGCAGTCGGACAACACATGGCTGCTCTAAACTCCATTGTTACGTTCCCCGCCCGTCTGTGACCGACCCCCCCCCCTCCCCCTTTGGCTGTGGGCGGGGACTCTCTCTCGCCTGCATGTACCCCTCGCTTAAAAAAGAAAATTTCGCGCAATTCTTTTTAGGGAGTGCCCGTGTCTCCTTAAAATCCCTGTGTGGTGGCGGCGTGCCGTCCTCCCATCCCTCCCTAGTCCCTTTTGCGCTTTCTGATTCTGTTTTCTTTCTTTCTTTCTGCCCGTGTCGTGAGAGCGGAGCTGCGTTGACCGGTACCATAGTAAAATTCTTTTGTGTGGTAGTGCGAGTGCGCGTTAGTCCCGTGTGCCCAGAGCCAGACGCCATTGGCGGGAGAGCCCAGTATAAGATAAAGAACCGTAGACGAGGGTAGCCTTTGGGCCGACTTTGTCGCGCATGCAAACAAGCTCTACAAGCCCGCTTTCATTGCGGCGTTCGAAGAAGCTCCTGTGCTGGCATGCGTCGGGCCAGTGGGTGGCTCTCCATGCGGATGCTGCGACCTCGCGCAAGTGACGCGTTCACCAAGCTCCGTCTGCTGAACCTAGACCACGAGCAGGACGCTGTCGTCACTTGCGACCTGTGGAAGCGAGCGATGCCCTCATCTCCGATCGCGTGGGACGACGGCGTGGACGGGGGCCTGCTCTGCCACCTCCTCTTCAGCGTCACAGCAAACGCGACTCGCGGTCCAGCGATGCTGCGATTTCGATGTGGTCCGGGAGCGTCGCGCGGTCACAAGCTGAACATGCCGCATTACGAGACGCTCGTCGACGTCGCTCTCACAAAGCCGGATGAACTAACAACTCTCAATTCTCGAAGACAGCGTGTGCACGCGCAAGTAGGACTAGAGCCGGAGGAGCACGAGTTTGGTCAGCGCCCTGCTGAAAAAAACGGAAAAAAGAAATCACCGCAGCGCAACTCAAGCTCTTCAAGACAACCCACTCTAATCCCATGCACGTACGCCCCCCTGGCCGACTCCGCTCTCAGAGCCCACTCACATCTTGAGCTTGAACCCTTCCCGCCCGCTCACTCACCGCATCTCGAATCACTCCCTTCCCCTCGTCGCCCAAATCGTTGTAGCGGAGGTCGATGTTGTTCAGCACCCCTGCTGAAAAACGCAAAATCCAAAACACAAAAAAGAAATCGGGGCAACTCATAGAAGACAACCCCGTGACAACCCCGTCTTAACTTCCCGCACGCCCCCCTGCGCCGTCCGCTCCCAGAATCTACCCCTCACATCTCGAGCTCGAACCCTTCCCGCTCGCTCACCACATCGCGAATCGCTTTCTCTCCCTCGTCGCCCAAACTGTTGTACCGCAGGTTCAGCTTGGTCAGCACCTCGTTGACGGCCAGCGCCTTGCCGATCGCGATGCCGCCCTCGGGGCCGATATTGTTGTTGAAGAGGTTCAAGTCGGTCAGCACCGCGTTGCCGCGCAGCGCCTCGGCGATTGCGGCGGCGCCCTCGGCGCGGATAGAGTTGCTGCAGAGGTTGAGGTCGGTGAGCACCCCGTTGACGCGAAGGGCGTCGGCGATCGCGACGGCGCCCTCGTCGCCGATCTTGTTGCCGCCGAGCCGAAGTGTTTTCAGCACCCCGCTGCCCGACACGTACTCGGCGATCTCCGCTGCGCCGGTCGGGCCGATCCTGCAGCCAGCCAAGCCCAGCGAGGTGAGCTTGTTGCGCTGCCGCTCGACGCGCACGATGCCGAGGGCCGCCTCCTCGGTCAGGTTGTTGTCGCCCACGTCCAAGGAGGTCAATACCCCGTTGACTTCGAGGGCCTTGGCGATCGCAAGTACGCCCGTCTGCACTACATCGACCAGCTTCAGGTCGCCGTCGGAGTCCACCCCCACGCTCACAACCATCTCGCGCCCCTGGTAAATCACCTTAGACCCGACCTCCTTGGACTCGCCCTCGACCTCGCTCGCCTCGATGTAGCCTGTCTCGCCGCCGATGTTGTTGCCGAAGAGGTTGAGGGTTTTCAGCACCTCGCTGCCCGACACGTACTTGGCGATCTCTGCGGCGCCAGTCGGGCCAATGCTGCAGCTAGCCAAGCCCAGCGAGGTCAGCTTGTTGCGCTGCCTCTCGACACGCACGATACCGAGGGCTGCCTCCTCGGTGAGGCCGTTCGAGCCCACGTCCAAAGACGTCAGCACCCCGCTGCCCTCGACCAGCTTAGCCAGCACAAGGGCCTCTGGCAACCCGAGTCCCGGGCTCAAATCTAGCTGTTCGAGCGTGTTTGCGCGCAGCTCCTTCAGCGGCACCGAGCCGAAGATCTCGAGCGATGGGCTGGCCAGCACAGCTGTCGCGAGCTGCTGCGCGGCGTCTCCCGAGATCCCGTTGTAACGCACGTCGAGGGATTTCAGCACCCTGTTGACCGAAAGCCCCGCCGCGACGACGGCAGCCGATCCGGGCCCGAGTTGCTTGTTCGACAAGTCGAGCGACGGCACCACCTCGCGCCCGCAGAGCTGCTGCGGGTTGAGCGTCAGCTCGTCGCCCACGTTCAGCGCGACGAGCGTGTGCGTCTTCCGCACCGCGCCGAGCAGCGCCTCCCGCACGCGGCCGCACACCTTGCCCCAGTCGAGCGCCAGCGACGTCAGCGCCGACGGCTCCGACTCCATCCACGCGACCACCGTGCCCACCATCACGCCATCGTCGCCAAGGTCGAACCCCGTCAAATCGACGCCGCTGGCCTGCAGCGGCAGTACCGTATCCATCGCCGCGGCAAGCCCGCCGCCGCCGCCGCGCTGCATCGCCGCCGCAAGCACCGCCGCGCGCTTCACCTTGAGCGCGTCGCCCACCGCCGCTTGGAAGCGCACGTCATCGTTGTACGCCTCAGCCTTGTCGCCGAGCGGCGCCTTGAGCCGCTTGTCCTCCGCGCCCCCCTCCGCGCATCGATCGAGGCCGAGCCGGATGCGCACTAGTTGCGACGCCTCCGCCGCCGCCTCCTCCGCCACCCCCCGGCGCACCTCCGCCGCCATCTGCGCGCCCATGTCGGTGAGCAGCTTAAGGCGCTTGCCCGCCACCTGCTCGAGCGTGAGCGAGGCCATGTTGATGGAGAAGCTGCACTGGACGACGAGCGTGCTGCCCTCCACGCCCGTCAACCGCACCTGCAGGGGGGGTGGGGGTCTGTTTTCATCGCCTGCGCCTCTTCT